CGCCAATCTATCTCTTCCATACTCTGAAACGGTCCCCCCGACCCGAGAATGCTCAGACTATTGAGGCTCTGAGATATTTGTAGCAACAAAGCTCCGAGCTCGTCGCGAGATGTCGCTGGACGTGTTTTGGTAAATATGCTTCCGACTACCACAGTGTCACCATTGATGTCGATACGCCAGCTAGTCGTGGAAAGCGTCAGTTGACGGATCTTGCTTCTCAATTCCGGTCTCTCAACGATGGTGCGCACGAGGTACATGACACTGTCACCTCGAGTACGAGGCAAGCTGATAGTCCGATATAAGAGCTCATCACCGATGGCTTTGAAGCGACGCGATGTCCGATTCAGGTTGCCAAGCGTCGGGTTGTCGCCCTCAAGGTGTTTGGCTATCTCAAGCAGCAGCTCGTCGGGGAGGTCGTTGATGGAGTGGAGGTCAGTTCGAAGGATATTCGGGGGCAGCTCGCTGACCACTTCTCTCAGCTTCTCCTCGATCGCTGTTGGCGGAAGATCCATCGCGACAAAACTCTCGGGCCGGTTCGGTTGGCGATGTCAAATTGCTAAAGCAGTTAGCCAAGGTGTACGATGAACTGACGTGCATGGGGTGACTTACTTCTCTTCGAAGTTACGCCAGGATGGCGGGTAACAAAGGCTTGTGACGACAGTTGGAAGGTTCGCGGTAAACTTTTCAGCTTTATCAAGTTGGTGTATTCATTGACCACCTAGGCAACCAATGAGCGTGCTGCAAACGCCGGTGTCAGGCACGTGATACGGCGGTGACACACCGCCCGCGTCCGCTTGTAGCACGTCAACCTAGGGAAAAAGTGAACACCCTGGGGTCTACATCGATGTTAACACACCCACTTTGCATGTACACATGTTAGTGTAGTCTGCAGACCTGTTCAGCTTTTCCCTCGTATGAGGTGGTAGCGCAACGTATTCCATGCTCATCTTTTGATGTCGCGTCCAATCTGAAATGACTTGGCCGTTTTGTTCCCATTGTGACTACGTACCTAGAACCCGGGTATATAGGGCTCGTCTGAGACTTCAATCTCAGTAGACGGGTACAAGTATGGACCTAGATCTTCTGGAATCCAGACGCATCTCCCGTTTACCCTCCCGCAATGTCCTCTCCAGTTCCATCTAACGAGGTGGTGCTTAATGACGCGCCATTTCACTGCAGCCCAGAGATCTTTGTCGTACTCATCACCCCAGACTCGCTTGTTGTCGAGCTTGTTATGGATGCGCAGAACCTCGTCGAGATCAACATCTCTGATGTGTTGGCCTCTGCAGTAGTTCTGATACCATGGCATGCGATAGTTAGGAGCATTGGGATGATCTCGAAGAAGCTTTCTCAGCTTCATACGCTCATTATACACCAGCGCGTCGGCTACATCGTCTTTGCCGCGGTTGTCAAAGATCCTTGTGCCGTCTTCCCTGTAGGGATTTCTGGCGTCGAAGTCTTTGGGATTTTGCTTGGTTCCTATCCCTTGGTCCTTGGTCCATTGGTCGTATGGTACAGGTAGGTAGTCGTCATCGATCTCGTCGAAGCTTTTTCCAACGTGCTTTCCATAGGTGAAGACCCACTTTGAGCCCGGCATTTCTGGCTCTCTATCGAGGAAGTGATATTTCAGGGCTATCCGGGTGTAAGTGTGTTTGTGCCCACCGGTGGCGTAGATCCAGGAATTGATCCATGAAATTGGTGCTTCACCAAGTTTGCAACCGTTGTAATAGCCGCCAAATTCACTATCGATTTTGTAGATGTTATTCGCCCAATGAATGAGAGCCTCACGTAGACCAGGTTTTGAGTTCACTAAGGCATCGTCGTCTGCTATTCTTGCTAACTCTTCGTCGGAGAGGTTTTTAAGGGTGCGGCCTTTGTGTTCTCCGAAATCGAGCTGATAGACCTCAACTTTCACGCGCTTGTTGTCCGGCGACAGTGAATCTTGTCTTGAGAGGAGGTCTGGAGTCTCCTCGCGCTCCCTCTTGAACGACATGGTGGATGGCTGGCTGCAGTCGCTTCTTGACGAAAATCGAGCGTTCCACGTTGCCAGTTGCAGTACGTCAGTACAAGATACTATGCGTTGCAACCCTTCCAGCACATGTGGTATTAAGGAACGAGTTGTAAGATTTAATAACCCAATAGAGCAATGAATGGGACGTTGGATGAAGTGGATAAAGAGGTTACGGCTCAAAGTAGACGAGATGGGCAGAAGCGGGGTGTATGCGCAGACCCCCGAAGCTATCCCTTCCAACAGCCTTCATCGCTGGGCATTGTCCAGCAGCTTCCATCGTCTTATCTTCAGCCTATCACGGACGTCCTGCTCCGCATCCCTAACGTTCCTTCTGCGGCGTCAGAGGGTTTGCGATCATCGCTGCCGTTTTGCCGGCGTTTCGTCCCTTGTGACGTCAGACCCGTCCGCGCCGGCGCCGTTCCAACCACGCACGTTTCGTGCCTTGCATCGACGGATACCACTAGGCCCGGCTCGATCCATCGCGCGGTGAGTGAGCCCAGCTGTCGCAGCATTGCAGTCACGAATATTCAACTATAGAGCTGCAATAGAGGAACTGAGATTACCACCGGCAGCTTCCTGTCGCTCGCTACAGCAGGGGTCAATGCATCGTATGATTCGATGAACTACCGAGGTACATCGCCCCGGGCCTTCTCGACGCATCGCACCTCCTCCATTTCGCGGCTCCGCCACGCGCACACCACAAGCAGCAGAAACGCCATGCGGTACTCATCCTTCACATCTCTGCCTGTATGATATGCGCATCCACTGAATTTTATACGCGACGTATACGACAAACCCTTTGGTACAGGCGTTTAGTACACGGCGGCATTAGCTTCGTCAATGTTTTGGATAATTTTCGCATCAATTTCATCCTATGACAAGCCATCCATCGCACGATAACATTACGAGACCAGCAAACCTCCCATTGGATCGTCTCTGAGCTGCCTCCCATACCACCCACCTCACAACAGATCTACCGCTAGCATCTCATGAACAGCTCCGTCAAATCTCATCGAGACCTCGCCTCAGTGAAATGCTGTATGCAGGAATGTCTGTTGCCCCATTCGCGATCGCAACCTCGCGGGTCATGGTGTATAGCATCTTGGTCTTGGGCCAGCGCGCACGAGGCGGCATTGTGGCTCCCCTGCTCATGAGCAATTCCAGTAACTCCTTGCTGTTTCGGTTGAGAGCAACTTCCATCGGCGAAATCGTCTTTGTGGACCGCTGATACCGAGGAAAGGCGCCATTGACATCTGCACCTGCATCCAGGACCGCGGCGACGATCGGGATGTCGCTGACCTTGATGGCGCAGCAGAGGAAGTTGGTGAAAAGGGTTCCGTCGTTGATGTCCAATTCTTCGTCGTCCAGAAGCAAGTTGACCATGTCAACATTACCGGTACGACATGCAATTGTGAAGAGGCGATTATTGACCAGGCTGCCTGATGGATTCAGGCGTAGGATAGACTCTACTACGTCTGTGTTCCCGTGCTCGATGCCCATCTCGAGCCACCCGTTGTACGTGCGCTTCTCAACCCTGCGAAATATTGTCTGGCGGAACTTGACAAGCTCATCCACGAAGCGTGTATTGCCAGCCCGGATAGCGGAGCAAATCGCTTCTGCAAAGTTGTAGTCGTAAGAACCTAGAGTATCACGTTTGACCGACTTCTTGAGGTTATTTAGGTGGTGTAAGACTGCATTGAAAAGCTCGTCGTGTTTCGAAGTCACAGCCATCACCAGAGGGCCTTCGCCGAAGGTCGTGTAAGGAGACCAAATCGCGGGAGGCATTTGCGCTAGCAGAGGGCGAATCAAGTCAATCGCCTGAGTCGACATAGCCGCTACGATCTTCTCCCAGTGGTGAATGTCCGCGCCGTTTTCTGGATTGTTCCTCAACTGAATGGCTGGGTGGCGGTAGGAACGCCTCCAATTCATCATCATATACATTACTTCGTCAGGACCAGTGACTCGGACAAGACCTTCAACCATGCGGGTCTCAGTCTCCTTCCGCTGTCCTTTCGGGATTGAGAGTTCCGAAACCAAATAGTCAATCATTCGGTGGATCGTATTGAGTAGCCGGTTGTCGACATCGGCGGGCTTGTTCAGATGGGCAAGTATATACGTTGTGATGTTGGCAGTGATGACTCCCGGGATCAATCCAACGATATGCTTGGGCTGATTGCTGAGCAGGTCATGCTTGATTTCGCCAGCGAAAGTGTGACAAACGCTTCGAAGTTTCCAAGTGGCCCTGGGGCTATCAGAGTTGAGCGAGTGGATGATGTTTTGGAATATTTCCGTGGGTAGATCCAGAAGTTGCGCCATGTTGAGTTGTTCTTGCGCTCGGTTGATGTCGTATACGGCGACTGGGTCGTTGGAAGATGGAGAGTTATATGTGGAGGAGCTAGTGGCTGGGGGTTACACTTTGTCAAATACGCTAAACAGCGCGCTAGTGCCATATTAAGGTGTTCGTGTGAAAGGCCTTCGCCCCGCCTAGGGTAGGCCCAAGCGCTGAAGAGTTTGGTCACATTCACTGCCACCATCACGAGAAGTGGCTCGAATTCGTGCCCCATAGGTAGGGTTTGCTGCATACATAATATCAGATCTTAACAATTAAACAGCTTCCAAGAAAGCGTATCCTTCTACTAGGCATGCCAGGTATCAGGATATGGGAACGATGGTCTGTACCGTGGTGGAAATGAAACGAAATAGCTCTTGGGGTAATTCTGTGCTAGGCCTTCAGCGATGATGGTAGGTGTATAGCTCTCGTTACATCAAGCCTTGCCAACTAGATACGCTTGCACCATATGTACTCGCATAGCCTGCCCATCTGCAACTTAAAGGACCAAAGTATACTCCTAGCACCTTGGCCCAACGCATACCATCACCATACTTGCCGTCCACCAGTAACAAGATTTCCTGCTTTCCATGCTGCAGTTATCAGTAGCCGTGTATTTCCCCACAGATGCAACAGAGATTTGAAGGCAGCAAGGTCTCTTTAATGCTTTTGCTTCGTCGATTGCTTCTGGGAGACTGCCGCATTCTGAAGGACGGCTTGCATCTTCTTTGAGAGGTGCCAAGTATAGGTAGCAGGAACGCTGGCTCCGCATTTGATCAAGTAGCACACGGCGTCGAAGTGGTTCAGATAGATAGCATACTCCAGTGGTGTAATGGCATCGCAATGCTTCAGACGATGGGTTGTTATAACCAAATTAATGTCTGCACCAGCTTCGACGACTGCGCGAATTACCGCAACACCACCAGCTCTTATGGAAGCCGCCAGGGCTGACATCTGGGCGCTACTAGAGTCTAGCTGAATGCTTCCGTAGTTGATGAGAGTGGTAACGATAGCTGAGTCTCCGGTCTTAACGCCCCGTTCGAAGATAGTAGTGTTGATCTGGAAGGGCTTGGTGTCGGGTGCGGCTTGGAGAAGAGTTCTGAGGACGCTGTTGCTTCGTGAGAGAATAGCACGATCAATCCACTGACGATAATAGGTTTTGTCGGGAAGGGTCAGGTAGCGACGAATGTAGCCAAGTAGTAGCTTTACCATGTCGACGTTATCATCCGCGATAGCTGGTTGCATGGAGCCAAGCATACTGTATGGAGAACCAAACCCAATGACCTGATTCTTCTTGAGCCTCTTCAACTTATGTTGATCCAGAACTGTCATCATAACAGCGATCATCTTGTGGTCTTGTTGTCGAACAGCAGCTAGTATTGGCTCTTCAAAAATACCCAGCGAGAGTGAGGTAGGAGCATGAGGTAGTAGTTTTGCGACGGCGTCATGAGCACCCACACTTATCGCCGCAATGAGCTGGTCATGATAGGTAATATCCTTGCTCAGTGCTTGGCGCCGTTCCCTGTATCTTTGCTCGCTCCCTGGCGAGGTTGAGCTATTCCGCCAGAGGAAGGTTGCAAGGAGCGGACATGTCTGCGCAACGCCGGCACAAACCTCCAGAAGGATGTTACGGTCGTCGAGACTGTCTATTGCGGTGAGCTCCTTGGTGACATACTCCACCATATTCTGTATCTTGGCGGGAAGCTCCGGTAAGACATCGCGTGGACTCTTGACGTGATATGCGAGGTAGTACATCATGTTCTCTTTGCGATTGAGTAGGCACCAGGCTCTGTAGCTGCGAAACGCCTCTCCCGGTTGTACGGCTAGAATGTTTGCGCTGATCTCCTGATCAAAGGTTCCTATGAAATTATCAGCCCTGAGCATTTGCGCGACCACGGGAATGAGAGTCTTACGGCATACGCTTCGCAGTTTCCAAGCACATAGGACACCGACATCACTGACGAGGCAGTTGATGACGTGCCTGAAGATCTCAGGCGGGAAGTCGAGCAAGTCCATCGCAGTGACTGAAGTCGTTACTCCAAGCTCGTCACTTCTCGAATCTGTCTCATGTTAGTACATATCGCAATCAAGCTGACGGGGGTTATTTACGTAGGGGTTTCAGTCGTTGCAGTCGCGACACAGTGCGGTGGAGAAAGGAAGGAAGCAGAGTGGGTTGCCTCAATAGGGAAAGGGCCTGTGTGCCAAGCTTTCTTGGTCCAGACAGAGGTAAAGGCAGTCGCAATCTTCGGTCACCTCGACTTATGTATCGCCCTGGCAACTGCAATCAGAGGTGAGCGCGGCTTTCATGACGAAATAGGCAGTCATAGATATCAGGCAGCCATGAGTTTGAGGAAGAGAAAATAACTTTTAGATAATTACAGTGTGGTTTCGTAAAACTTGAAGGGAAGGAAACAACCTTCTGAACGCATGCAAAATACCGAACTCGCCTGCCAATTTGTGTGTCAAAGGCAAAGACCCATCTGTAAGCTCCAGTGAGCGATAAATAGCCGCGGTAGAGACATACATCTACGAGGCCCTACAAGTCAGGGTGATGCGACAATGTCACCCTCGGCTCCAAGTTTCTCAATATCTGCCCTCTTCATTCTCTTGAAATGCTTGTACTCCAGCACGTGCCCACCGTCGTTCTTGATCTTGGCATGTCGCAGAATCGCATATGTAGCCTCATGCTTTGACCAACATGCAATGTTTGGTAGGTGTGCACCTGCATCAATCAGAGCTTGAATGATGGACGGGTTCTTCTTGTGCATTGCCACTTTCAGAGCAAGCCTTATCGTAGAGTAGTATGGCGTCGGATAGTTGACGTCAGCGCCAGCCCGTATGAGTAAATTGACGATTTCGGGTTTGTTCGAGTTGATGCCTGAAATCATCGCACAGGTCGCTGCCGCTGTCTCAATGAGGTCTTCCTCAACACACAACTTGACGATGTCCTGGCGTCCTTTTGCGCATGCCAGGGAAAGCTGTGAGGAGGTTATAGGATTCGTCGTCTTTTTCTTGATATAAGGAACGTCTAATACACGCTGGAATACCGCCAGACTCGACTTGCGGATGGCTGTGTCGAGAAAAGTGTTGTACTCAGCTTTCAAGAATGTGAACCCTGCTTGCTTGTACCACGTGGATAATATACCAAGTACCTCAGGACGGGAATGCTCGACGGCGGCCAGGATGGCCCGTGAAATGTTGAACTCGCTCACTTCCCATTCTTTACAAGCAAATGGGTCTTGCTGGACGACCATTCGTATGCGCTGGGCTTCGTGAGAACCTTGCAAGGCCGCGTCTAGCTGTTCCAGTATGACTTTGACAGCAGGAACCTGTCCTTCTGCAGTCGCCCGCAAGAGAACACCTCCGAAGACGGGATGAGTATCGTAGCTGCGCAGTGATTCCATCGCCGTTTTAATGAGTCCAAGTTTTCCGAGGATTGACGCAGCCACGAGCTGATCGATTGCTCCGAAAGGGGTGCCGAGGTACTCAGGTTTCAAGCCTTTTCTGCTGCCATAGCCTCGCAAAGCGCGTATCATTTCGTCATTTGTGGTGTCAGCGCCTAGTCTGTCGCATAGGTCCCTTTGCAACCCTTCTTTCTCGCTCTCCGTGACAGTTCCTAGCCCTTCTGAAACATAGCTGATCATGTTGTTGATTCTTTCGGGTAGGTACGGATGCACATCCAAGGGTACCCTACTTCGGTAGTAGAGGTAGAGGCCAAAATTGTGGCGCAAAAGGTCGTTCGAGATGTAGGTGAGATCTTTCAAGGTCCGCTTGGCGAAGATGTCGTACGTTATAGCTAGCTTGAATGTACCTCCACTCGGTCAGCTTCAATTCGTAATATGAGACCTCACCACCGCTTTACTCACCACAGACCCCACGGAGCTTCCAGGCCTCGTTAACGCCAGCGACAGAGACTAGCTCATGAACGACGTTCTCAAACACTTCCACAGGGAAGTCGAGGAGTGACATGACCGCAGACACTATTGGTGGTGACGTTTTAATGTTCTTGGTCTGTGACGTGCTCATATTGGCTTTGATGTAAGGTTGAGGCGACTGGGGTACCTTGGTAGTCTGGCCACTTGCCGAGGTATGTTTCGTGGTCATGTCTTTGTAGTGAGATCGACTCACAGTTATCGGTATCAAGAGATGAGAATGAAGAGAAGATTGGAGGAGGAGTATAGTAGTTGGGGTGCTAGATATACTGCTCTAGCGTGGCGCTAGCGCCATGTTCTCGCTCTTGGTGAGAGAACACGTTCTGAGGGGCGATAATACGGCCAGGTAAAGGTGGAAAGGTCACCTGTACTCGAGAGGCAGAAATTCAGATAATTGTATGCAGCGTTCCTGCCCGGCCTCCCGGCAAACATATCAAATTCGATGTTTGCGTCGCAACTTCTCGAGCCTATCCTCCTCGCTCTGCAGATATGCCTCCTCGTCCTGCTCCATTCTGTTCTGACTCTCCATGAACGTCGGGACCTCATCTCCACTCTGCTTCATTCTGGCGTCTCGCAAAGCGTTGTACGGCTCTGGTTCCGATATCGTGTACCAAAGGTCGACGTGACGCACGAGAGCGCCTCGCTGAAGAAGATACTTGACTGCAGCCATCGAGTGAGCGGCGGCGAACTCCAGCGGACTTTCATTCTGGGCTGGTGTCCCACAGTACGTTTTCGGCTTGGTAGTCAGGTAGTCCGTCTTGTTGATGTCGGCGCCAGCATCAAGAACTGCTCCGATAATAGCAGTGTCGTCGTCCGAAGTCTTGACAGCGACATGGAGTGGCAGATTTTGAGCGGAACCCTTGTTGACATCTACTTGTCCTTCTGATAATAGGACTCTGACAATGTCTAGGCTATGTGCCTTGCAGGCATAAAGAAAGACGTCTGTAGTGACTTTTGGTCCACGTGGAGAATGTAGCACTATCTGGCGTACTATCTCCGCATTTGGAGGCTGGACGAATTTCACGGCTTCTCGCAGACTCTGCACATACACATCCCTCACGCCTTTGTGATCATGGTACGACCTCTTCAGAAACTCTGTGAGTCGACCGACAGTACCGGCAGAGTGCTGGTGTATCGCAAGCCTGAAAGCATAAGGTATGTAGAGGCTCTCAAGAGTACTCTTTCCCTGCCGGCGCTTTGCATGATCCAAGATCAGTTGTAAGGTGTCTTGATCGTCTGTAACCACTGCTGCAAGAAGCGGACTCATACGTCACTAGCGGCGACAGGATCAGGCACCAATCACGTGCTCACGCGTCTCGGTGCTCCCGAGGTTCCTACCTAGGTAGGGTTCCAGGGTCCAACGTTTGTGCACGCATCAGCACAGCGGGATCCACCCATAGCCAGTGAAATGACAGGTGATGCGCAATGATCAGTCTTGCACCTCGTCCTCCGTGTACTCCTGCAGCAAGTCCTTGCGGCCAGCATACGGCGACGGCTCGACATACGTGTCCTGAAATCGTTCAATCCAATCTTCTCCTATCTGGGCCGGCGTGCTTTCCTGGTCGACTGGGATTGGCGTATTGCTTCCACAGACGCTCAAATCGCCTATGTCGAAACGAACATTTCCCTCGCCTTGTTGTATCCCTCGCATAACGCGTGTGAACGATTCAGAAAAGAAACAGCAACTGTCCAGGAGGCTAAGCGGGCTTATGGGACGTGGAGCGAGCGATTCGAGTGTTCTTTGCCACCTGGCATCTTCGAGCATTTGCTCAAGGAGAGCGAGCGTGCTTGCAGTGTTTCTGGAGTGGAAGATCAAAGACAAGCGATCGGGAGACAATCTCGATGAAAGAGCCACGGCTTCCTCAAACCACCGCATGAAGGCCTGAGATACGCGCACTCGTTCTATCTCTCCGTCGATGTCCCAGACTTGACCATCGTGGTATTGATCTACGAGTTGCTCGAAATAGGGCTGACCGATCTTACTCGTGATGGCCATAGTCTTTGTATCCACTTGGCGACGAATACTGATGCGGGGATACTGTTGCAAAATGCTGACCAGACCCAGGCCATGGCACTCCGAATATGCTATGCTGGCGTGGGCTTCATCGAGTACAATCTTGCGAACAGCGGATAGAACGCTCGGGTCTAGACCGTTGAGAAATTGTATGGCAAGCGCAGCTGCGGAGAAGTAGCGCTTAATGGGACCGTCCTCATATATGGGGCTATCACTCTTTGATGAACTCCAGGAGATGCATTGTTCTTTCAGCGAGGCGATTTCTGCTGGGTTGGGTATCATCCAAGGGTCAGGGGTCCCAGCGAGCAGTGATGCTACATTTGGCTGTTCAGGCCGCTGCCCAAGGACTTCGTCATCTTTCCAAAACTCCCACCACCTTCTTGTCCCCTTTCCCCGGGACAGCATGAACTTGACGAATCCACGATGAGTGGAAGGTGGATGACGCCAAAGTCTCCAGTCAACCACCATTTGCAGGGGGGTCGGTGCAATCGTTTCATGACCTCCGCGAAGGCGGTGAAGCAGCGAGAGACATTGGGGAAAGTCCACTCCGGCATGCTCAATCATATCTTCGGTGATGGCTTTACGAACCTTGTAAAGTTGGTAGGCGGTCTTTATATGAATCCATTTGAGAGCGATTGCAAAGGACGCGGCTCTATCGCTCGTCTCACGGTCGACCCAGCCCGTCCGAAAAGTGACGGTATTCTTTTCAAAGATGACGGGTCTTAACTCGTGGGCTACTTGACTGCAGGTTTGCATGAATGAGAGATCGATCGGGTCGCCGTTGGCTGTGCGTAGCCTGCGCGTGCGCTGATTATAGAGATAGCCGCCATCCTGGGCAGCATAGTGGGTATAAATCTCATCCCGTAACTCTCGAGGCAGATCGAAAAACCCCAGCATGGCAATGTTGTAAGTGGTGACGGGTTGCGGGATAGGTTGAGTGTTCTGATGAAATGGGTGAGTGATGATGGACAACTAACGAAGGAGCGAGCCATGGACCCCACACATGTCGCCAAGAGGAAGCGGTAGCGAGAGCGCTCAACCATGAGCTGCGCTGAACGAAGTGAGACTAG